CCCAGCGGGAGGCGCGCCCAGCAGTCCAGGGGCGTGGCGTTCACCTCCCAACCGCCCCCCGGCTGCCCTGGCTTCTCCAGGACCCGCCCCTCTGCGGGTAGCCACGCAAGTGCGGGGTCGGAGGGAAGGCCTGCGCCCCCTCTGGGCCCGGCGGGCTGCCTCCCGCGCCCTCTGCGCGCCTCACCTGCTCGGCCGACACCGCCCCCTTCGCCACGCCGCTCCCGCTGCTCCTGCCCGACCGACCGCTGTTCTCCGCCATCTTTGGCGCCTGCGGGGCTTCCGGCGGGCAGCGCGGCCCCGCGTCACTTCCGGTTGCGGGTTTCCGCTCACTCTCCTTGGCGGCTCCAGGCGGTTCTCCAGTTTGGATCGTGCCTCTGTCTCCATGTAGGACCTACTCCCTGCGCCGCCCGCCGCGGTGAATTCCACTTGCGGTGCTTTCACCTGTGCAACAGACACGCCACCCTGGGAGAGGCGGGGAGGACCGGCTGAGTGGAGAGGGGCGCGGGTGCGGCCGGTGGTGGGACCGGGGCGGGCGACCCCCTCTGGGTGTGGATGAAGCGGTGCAGGTGCACAGTCAAAGAAGGCAGTGGGGGCCGGGGGACTGGAATCAAGGAAGTTTCTGGGAGATGACTTTTGAGCTACGGAAGCGCTTGGCAGAGGACAGGGCTTAGGTTAATGCGAGGTCGGTGGAAGTAGAGGTTTCCTCCGTCTTCCCACCTTATGATCTCTTCCTGTCGCCCATACTTATAGTAAAGTGTTTCGAAGACGTGGGGGTTTTCACCGGCAGGGCCCTGATTCAGCCTCACAGTGTGAAGAGAAGTCAGAGAATCCTGGAAGTGTATTGCTTGAGGGAGGGATTGGTGTCCTGATTTCTCACCTTCCTCAGGCTCGGTTTCGTTGTCAGGCCTCCTCACCACCTCCTGTCTCTTCTGTGTCCTGGACTGCGGATATCTCCACTCTCAGTACTTTGTGCTCAGCCCAGGTAACATGTTATGTATCCTTGGTGCCTGGTACATAGTAGATGCTCAGTAAATGTTTGTGACATGGTGATGGGAAACAGTGGGGTACCAACCATCCACCGAACATTTGATGGGTAGGTCATTTTACCTTGTGAGAGCAGAACCAAAGGGAAGTGCAGCCTTCCTGCCTCCCTATTCAAGCCCTTTCTCATTGAACTTGGGTTTCCCTATGCTGGGAAATCTCAGTCCTTGCCTGCACCACCATTCACAGGCCCAGAGCCATGGCTGTCTCCTCTTCCTCCTGGGAACTGCCCCTGGTGGCAGTGTGCCAGATAACATCAACGCCAGACAAGCAGCAGAACTTTAAAGCTTGTGCTGAGCTGATTCGAGAGGCTGCTAGACTGGGTGCTTGCCTGGCTTTCCTGCCAGAGGCATTTGACTTCATTGCACGGGACCCTGCAGAGACTCTTCACCTCTCTGAGCCACTGGGAGGAAACATTTTGGGAGAATACACCCAGCTTGCCAGGTATCAGGAAAAGGGGGAGGGAGAGGTCATTTCTTTGTTGGGCATTGTCTCTGGATTGCCAGGTGTGAGGGTGGAACTTTGGGAAGAGTGCCAGTGTCCACTCTCCCCAGGGAATGTGGACTCTGGCTGTCCTTGGGTGGTTTCCACGAGCGTGGCCAAGACTGGGAGCAGACTCAGAAAATCTACAATTGTCATGTGCTTCTGAACAGCAAGGGTGAGACTTCACAACTCTTTAGCCTGCCTGTTCCCAGGTTCTTCTACCTAAACCAAGATTCTCCAGAATTGTGTCTTCTCAACTGTTTCCTTGGCCAAGGGCTCCTCTTGGGAGGAGAGGAGCTAAGGTGGGCTTCTAGAGAGCCAGCACCAAATATTCCTTCTCCCTCTTGCTCTAGGGTCAGTAGTGGCCACTTACAGGAAGACACATCTGTGTGATGTAGAGATTCCAGGGCAGGGGCCTATGCATGAAAGCAACTCTACCATGCCTGGGCCCAATCTGGAGTCACCTGTCAGCACACCAGCAGGCAAGGTGGGAGTTGTGAAAGGAGGGAGGGAGGGAGGGAACAAGAGAGAGGGAAAGGAATACTGAGATTCAGTAGTAGATAGCCCTAAGGAGTAGGGTAAGGGGCGTGGCTAGATGCTGTGACAAACAGGACACTGTTTTCATTCCAGGTTGGTCTGGCTATCTGCTATGATATGCGGTTCCCTGAACTTTCTCTGGCACTGGCACAGGCTGGAGCAGAAATACTTACCTATCCTTCAGCTTTTGGGTCTGTAACAGGCCCAGCCCACTGGGAGGTAAGAGGACCTCTTCAGTACATGAGGGCCTTCTCTTAACCTCATTCTCTTGCCTCGGCCCTACTGGTTAGATTTTCTCCCCCTTCCCACCTAGTAGGAAAACTCATTCCCCAGATTGTTGCTTAATTCTCATACGTTAAAACACCTTGCTTACTAGTCACAAGATAACCCGTGTCTGCACTTACATTAAGTAATTTTAAGGTCTGAAAGAAATGTAGAGTTTTAAGAGAGCAGAAAAGTAGCCAGTTGCGTGAGCAAGTTCTGGCTCAAAATAGCTGGTCAGCAGGGTGTTAAGGAATAGTTAACATCCTAAATCATTTTCAGGTAATTACAGAATGGTCAGAATGGGTAGGCTGGCCAATCACTTCCCTGCCAGCTACTACACATCTCCTCCCCAGGTGTTGCTGCGGGCACGTGCCATCGAAACCCAGTGCTATGTAGTGGCAGCAGCACAGTGTGGACGCCACCACGAGAAGAGAGCGAGTTATGGCCACAGCATGGTGGTAGACCCTTGGGGAACAGTGGTGGCCCGCTGCTCTGAGGGTCCGGGCCTCTGCCTTGCTCGAATCGACCTCAGTTACCTGCGACAGTTGCGCCAACATCTGCCTGTGTTCCAGCACCGCAGGCCTGACCTCTATGGTAATCTGGGTCACCCACTGTCTTAAGACTTTCAACTTCTCTGAGTTGAGACCCCACTGTGAGCTGGGGTTGCTGTTACTTAGAAGCGGGACCCAGGTGCACCTCCACTCACTTGGAGAATCTTGACTCTCTTGAAGGAACACAGGCTCAGCTTCTTGGAAAAAAAGAAACTCACCTGAGCTCAGATTTCAAAAATGTGGAATTTTATATAGTCATTGCTTATTTCATGAAAACTAAAATTATGCTGAGGACTGAGCAGCACTGGCATTGAAAAAAATATAATCATCATAAAGTGTGTCTGGACATCTCCTTTGGGAGCTGAAAGAGGAGGTGGTTGTGTACCAGCTGGACTCAGCTCTGGTTCTAGGCCTCCTGGCTCATTTAACGTGACTCCTACCCAAATAAAAGTGCAACACTCAGTGCGCATCCCAGCCCCAGGCGGGGGGGATGGGGAAGGAAAAAGAAGGGAGTTGATACTGAATTACTTCACTTTCACCTGTAATGCCTTTTGCTCAAGCCAGAAAAAAGCAAAGGGGAAAGGGCTGCAGGGTACCTCATTTATTTTTACTTGCACATGGAAGGAAAGTGGAACACTCCCTCCTCCCCTTTTTGGGGGGTGTTTTAATCTCTGCACCACCCCATGCATGTGCACGCACACTGCAGCTGGGAAGACTGGCTAGGCTGACCTAGTCCTCGCACCTCTTTTTCCTTGAAGAGGGCTGGATGAGAGGAAAAGGAGGAGCCCACAAGGCAGGTTTCAGCCGTAAACAGAAGAAACAAGGCAGAGCAGCACCACCAGAGGCCAGGAGAGAGTGGAAAGGGCCACAGCTTCTTTTTTAAAAATTCTATAATTTGGGAGAGGGTGGTGGTGAATTTCCAAAATACACTTCAGAGTCTCACCTCCCACACAACACAGCTCCCTTACTCACAGCCCTTTGGTTTTTCAGACAAAATGTAAGAGCCCTCTTAAAGCCAGAAGTACCGACAGCCCCTCAATGCACCCAGATGCAGTGTTCACTTCAGTCTGTCCTCCAAACTTTGCTTCTCCCTATACATCTGTCTTGCGGCTCAGTGGTAAGGTAGCTGCAGACACATAGGGGGTGAGTGGAAAGGGAAACGGGAATCCAGGCACATGGGTGCAGGGAGGGGTGGGAAACACCACTTCCGTTTTCCTTTGTCTTTTCCTAAAAAAAAAAAAAAAAAAAAAAAAAAAAAAAGGGGTGTGATCAGGTGGAAGGGGAGAGAACAAACCCCAGAACAGTACATATGCTCCAGAGGTGAGTGGTGGGTCCAGTCCCATGAGGGAAGGTCAGGGCAAGGCCTGCAGCATTAAGTTCCTCAGGAGTTTCTGTCGGCCCAGCTCATAGTCCTCCTCGTCCACATTCACCAGCAGCTTGATGGCTTCATGGCCCACAGCCTGCTTGAGGGAGTCTGTGATGAAGACACCTTTCAGTGCCTCTAGTAACGAGCCATTGATGTAGTCGCGCCAGAATGCATCGAGGTAGGTGAGCTCAGAGAACTTGATGTCACAGATGATGGAGCCCAGGTCCCGGGACTTGAGGATGGTGTTGGCCTGGTTAAAGCGCTCAAACTGGCGCTCAAGTGGGTCCTGCTTGTTAGAGAAGACGTTGCCCTGCAGAGCAGTCTCATGCTGGCAGTATTCAGCCCGAACCCGCAGTCTGATGTCTGCAGGAAAGAGAAGAGACAGAAGAGGTTGCCATGAGGGATGAGTACAAGAAAGGCTGAAAGAGCACAGCAACGTTGGACAACACCTGTTAGCTCCCCTACTCTTACCCAGGACTACTTTTCTAGGTATTTCTGAATCTCCCAGAATACAGGAGGTTCCCTTAAATAGGCCATGCCCAGGTCATATTAGCCCATCACTCAAGCAGCACCTTGCTTCTGGGAGATAGTTTCCTAGTTAACAGGCAGTCGTTTTCATACTCCACCGTGATGGGTTCATCCTACAGTAAGGATGTCATGATGGCGTCCCTCTAATCTAGTGTTAACTAAAAAGAGTTGAAAAGTAGTCTGTCACAAAGATAGAGGAATTCTACCCCCAGAGACCACCACTCAACCTCACTCTGTGACAGCACTCAAAGCGGGCCTCACACTGATGAGCATCCCTTTGGGACCGTTGAACTTCTTACCACATGTCTGTTTTTCCTTGGGATCCGGTGTCACTGACTTCCGGCGTTTTCGCTGGCTCCCAAGTGTGGCTCTCCCTCGAGCTGACCTCTTGCTACACATCTGAGAGCCCGAAGTGGGGCAGCACACCACAGGATAGTGGGGAGGCACTGACCAGGGGAGAAGACAGTGGGGTAAATGCTCAAACACTTCTCTTGGAACGAGGAAGGAATCATTTAGACGTAGCTAGAAATGCAGTATCCACAATGTGACCTAGGAGGAGGACACAAGGTGGCAACAATCACAGGACCTAGGGGACGCAATAGAGCGTCACTGATTTTTAGGGGGCCGTGTAGGGGGCAGGGTCCTTTCATTTAAGGTGGGACTATGACAGGTTCCACGTCCTCTTTCTTGATGGAAATTAGGAGTGTTAATGTCCTCTCACCTGTTTTAGGGGGTTGAGGAGACCTTGGTTCTGGATCGCTGAGGGCTCTGGGGGTCACATAGCGAATTGATGTCTCCTCCAGATACTTGTCTACAAGATCAGGGCACACTGTAGGGGGAGAGGGAGTCATTCGGGAAAATGCACCCCTCTCATCTGGTCCAACCCTCCAACAGGCCTTATAACAGTCTTGGTACCCCCCAGGGTCAGTGCTACCTCCCGCTGGGACTCCAGCCCAATGCCCAAGTCCCCAGCCCCGTGCCCCTCACCGGCCCGCCTCCTCTTGAGGGTGACATAGGGCAGCAGGTCATGGCGAGTAATGATGCGCAGCAGCTGCAGCACCTGGCGGAAGTTACTCTCATCACAGCGGCCCTGGCGCTCCAGCGCCAATAAGAAGTCACGTCCATTTCGGATGAGGCCACGCTCGTGGTCATCAATAACGTCAACAAAGAGGAAGGAAAGAACGCGCACGTCTCTGTGTGTCAGGTGGGTGCCCACGATGTCAAACATGCGATGCAGGCTATACAGTCCATGCTCCTGCTCCCCATGCTCTTCCGGCCACACATGGCTCACCCGCCGCTTCAGGCCCGCCATGCTGGGGGCTCAGGTGCACAATACTTTCCAGAGTCCCTGCTCAGCAGCTGCAATCCCCACCACACTGTAAGGATGCAAAAAGAACCTGTGAGCCTGTCAGTGCTAACACAATGCCTAGCGCAGTGCAGTGCTTAATAAGTGTTTATTTAAAAATAAAGCCTAGCCCTTGCCGGCGTACTCGGTGGTTAGCACGTCAGCCCACTCACTGAAGGGTCTCGGGATTGATTCCCAGTCAAGGGTATGTACCTGGGTTGCAGGCTCCACACCCAGCCCTGGTCAGGGCAGGTGCAACCAATATGTCTCTCTCACAAAATAGCTGGGAAAACAGCTATTCAACTATAGACTGGATTTTCATGTCTCTTCCTCTTGTTTCATCTAATGCAGTTTCCAGGTACAGGAGACAGAAGGAAAATAACTTCTTGCTTATATCAGGCAACATGGGAAAACCAAGCCTCCTCAGAGCCCCTACAACATGTTGTTCCTATCCCACCTGTTCCCTTTGGCCAGCTGTTGATTATGAGGATCCCAGAAAAGCAGACTGACAGGTTTCACATTCAACCAATCAGAAAGCCAGGTTGCTTCAGAGCTCCTTAATTCAAAGTGTCCTGACTTAAACCCCAAGAAATGAAATATTGCCCCATATAATAGGCCATTGGAAAATTGGACAGAAATACAAGAGAGCACTGTGGTCCTAATTATTCATCAATGGACAAAATTCTATAACAGGCCTCAATTCTCTGAGGGTTAACTTCTTGCATTTGAGGGGAAAAACAGCCACTTTTCAGTCCTAGATTCCCAGGCCGGATCATTTAAGGTGCCTGAAATTATCAGAGCTTTAAGGTCAGTGGTTCTAAACCAGGGGCAACTTTGCCCTCCATGGGGACATTCAGAAATGTATGGAGACGTTTTAGACTGTCATATGGTGATATAAGGGAGGGTGTTACTGGCAAGCAGTGAATAGAGGTCAGGGACACTACTAAGCATCTACAATGCACAGGATAGTCCCCCATAACAAAGAATTATCCATCCCAAAATGTCAAGAGTGCTGAGAATGAGACCCTACTCTATATGGAGCATGATAAAGGTCTAGCATAGTAGAGAAAACATGTCACTTTCCACCTTAGATTGGAGAATAAAGCCACTTGGTCGCTCTAACACAAGCCCATCAAGCAGTATTCCGAAAGAAAAGAAAAGCCAGTCACACAGACTCACTTAACTCCTCAGTCCAACTGGCACACAGAGTTCCATCCCACTCCAACCTTGGTCTCTACCACCTGCTGTTGCCATTCAGGTAAATAGCAGGTGGCAGGGCAACACTTGCTCTGCCCCATCCTGGGAGGTCTAATTTGACCTAGTTCAATCTGGACCTCTGTGAAGATAAGAGAAATGCCATCCTGTGCAAGACAGATACAAAGGATCCCACAATTAACCCTCACAGCCATCTTGAAAGTCCTAAAACTAGACCAGTAGCCAACCTTTCCTTGTTAAGCTGCTGATGAGACTCATTCAATGAAGCAAAATGGAGAAGAGGCCTAAGTTTCCCAAGGCCATGTCCTTGGGAGAAATGTCAGAAGGCTAGGTAGTAAGCAGCCCTCCCCACTTACGTATCATCTAGGATGGTGAGTTCATTCACTCAGCAATCCAGACAGGAGTTCCAAGAATCTAACTTCAACATGAAAAGAAAATGGACAACCTCCTCTTAAACCAAAATACACTCCACCTTCTGTGGCGATGAAGCAAGGAAACTTAGCTTAACTTGTACAGAGAACCTGGATGAAGGTACCAGAGGAGTGAGGAGAACAAACAGAAGGTGAACAAGAACTGCTTGGCGTCTGAAATAACGTCAGATACCATGAGACACATTCCCGTAAATGCGAGTCCTAAGCCTGCTGGCTGGTTTGAGTCCAACTGAGATCCTAACATGAGTCCTCCCTATAGTTTCCCCCAAATAATCCTTTATTCTGATGAACTGCTGCATTTCTTAAGAGTTGTAGTTTGTTTGTTCTCTTTAGGGAGGTCAAAGCAGCCAAGAACTGACGGACAGTCTGTGTATCTACTGGATTTACTTGACTGGTCATTCTATTAGGTTTCTACTTCCAAGCAGTCGAGCCTCATCCCAGTAAGGAATGATATCCCTATTTTTACAAAACTAGAGGTATGTGACTCTCCCAGAAGCCCTTATGTGGAAGAACAAATGAAGTGATGCCCTAAACAACTAGAAGAAAGAGTGAGCCAGGCGGGCACGGCTCAGCAGTTGAGCATCCACCTAGGATCCAGGAGATGGAGGTTCGATTTCCTGTCAGGGCACATTCCTGGGTTGTGGGCTCGTTCCTCAGCAGGGGGAGTGCAGAAGGCAGCTGATCAATGACTCATCATTGATGTTTCGCTCTCTCTCCCTTCAATCAATAAAAACATTAAAAAAAAGTAAGCGTGGAAAGTGCATCAGCAAACTTCCAAGGGCAACATTTAGTAGACACTGTACTTAGTGCAATGTTCCGCACGTTAAAAAATGTTTCTCTTAGAGCTAACCAACAAGACTATATAACAAAACAAAGCTGGGGACTTACCCCAACACACCTAATTTCTGCTCTCCTTTCCCTCCTATTTATATCCAGTTACCGAAACAAACGATATGCACTCAGTTTGGTAGGTGAAAACTCATTTTTCCTGCCATCTACCCCATTACCGAGCTCAACCCCAATACATTTCTCATGCCATTTCCATTCCTTTCCATTGTTTGAAAACAATAAAAAAGTTCCAGACTTACCTCTGCCAGAAACTTAATTTCCCAGGTCTCTTCCTAGCAGAAGGTTCGAAGCCATCAACAAAACAAAACAAAAACAAATACAGGGGGAGTCAATTTTTAAGCTTTTTTTGGAAACCTCAAAGGCCCAAAGTCTTTGTCAATCTTAGTTACAAAAATACATAGACAAGCCTAAAGCCATTTTTATGGAAATGATCCCCTCCAAGTTAAGTAAGAGAACTCACCCCCAACAAAGACACCATGCTTCACTAACTCTCCACCAGCCAATTCACACCAAAAAATAACTCCAAAAACTTCCAGACTCAATGGCTCATAGCAAGAAAGGTCCCAAATTTGCCCCGCCCAAGTGGCTCAGTAGTTGAGCATCAACCTATGAACCAGGAGATCATGCTTTCATTCCCCCAGGGCACATGCCTGGGTTGTGGGCTCCATTCCCAGTAGGGGGCATGCAGGAGGCAGCTGATCAATGACTCCCACTGCATTGAGGTTTCTCTCCCTCTCCCTTCCTCTCTCTGAAATCAATAAAAACATTTTTTTCAAAAAAAAAAAAAGGTCCCAAATTCAACAACTTGTGGGAAAACCAATTATCCTCTGACACATTCTCACCTGAATCCTCAATTTCTTATGAAATCCACATAACTTTGTTACAATATTAATGTTAACTTTCATCTTTAGGGAGAACTGGGGAAAGTGTTACAGCCAAAGGAGGAACTTTCCATCAATTACTTCACTTATCAGACCAGAACTACCCTCCAAATTCTATCTTAGCCCTCTCTTATACCTAGCACACAGTGAAAACAAAATATCCACTAGGGCAGCATCCACTCAGACATATACATTTCACCAGGGTCATTTTCAATGTAAATATTGACCCCGCCTTCCTAGCACCCAAACAGCAAAAGAAAGGTCTGGAAACTAAAGCAGTCATTTAATAAGCTTGACTTTCTAGATGCCATCCTGTGTTTCCTGTTCCCTTTTTCAGACTTCCAGAGTCTCCACTTTAGATCCAGGGCTCCCACACAGCACGACTATCTCCTTAGACTATTTCCTTATTCTCGCGCTGCTAAAAACTAGAAAACTCCTTTACTCCTACTGCTCTCGCGTCACACCAGCTTCCCCCTTTTCCCGTCGTTTCAAAACCAGAAAAACAAGAGGTAAGCTAGGGAGCCTTTGAGATAAAACCCAGTTAACCCTCAGCCAACCCCAATTCTCCAAACCCACCTGACCGTTCCCTACGCTCTTCTCACTTTATTAAAAGCTGAAGGCCTGGCGATCAGAACTGACTGCAACTGATGCTGCTTAAGTCTGCTCCGTCTTCCTTTCCGCAGGGGAAGGTAACCCCCAAACCTTTATTACCACGCAGCCCCACTGTCCTGTCCCCCAGCTCGTTCCGCTCCCTCCCAAACTTTCCCCATTACCTCGTCACACCAACAGGCTCTCCACTCCCCAAACCTCCGTTCTCTCCCATTCCACCCAAATTCTGCCGTAGGCCCTGCCCCCTCCACAGCCAATTTAACACTTTCAAACCCTCCCCCGAACGTCGTAAGTCCGACCCTCCCTTTCCCACGTCTCACAACACCCCTCCCAGGAACCCGCCCTCCTTCCGACCACACGCCACA